TATTAAAGTTTTTCTTCATTACCCATTCAAGCCGTCTCCAGCCATTATTAGTCTCAAAGTGGGTTCCTTGTCATTGAACATATGGTAAATCTACATTTTTATTCTGTAAGTTATGTCACATTTGGAAATGTGAATGATATTGTGATTAATTCCTAACAATTTATTGTAGAATATCCTGCTTGCAAAAAAAAATTAGTATCAACATTATTCATGACTATTCTCCCATCATTTCAAAACTGAATGTTGAGCTTTCCCTGCATTGCAGATTTTCAGATGGGATATGCATGAACACTTGGACAGACACCATGGTTTACAATATTTATAAGATCTCTTTGACCAACTGTCTTTGTGAAATTTTAGAGTGGCTGGTTAATTGTTGTCCTTTTTGTTTTCTTGATTTACACAAACTCCTCTCATTCACCTGTGTGGTTTCCACAGACAACAATCCACTGTGACCCACCTAATTCAACATGAAAGTCAAGCAGAAAGGCCTTCCTCTTGAAGGAGCTATTTTATCTTTAGAAGGTTTATAATGCTATGTGGGGATTTGACATCTTATGGGACCTCCATTCATATGGGTTATATGACCATTTACCCATTTTTATTTGTATTTTTTAGTTGAAGCAGTAAGATAATTTCATTCCATGTCTGCGTGGGATCAACATTATCCCATTCCTTCACATAGAAGCTTAGAGTCCTTTACGGCTGTGTCTCAAATGTCATGCTTTTCAGCATTAAGATAAATGCCATCACCAAACAACTTCCTCCAACAGCTGCAAACATCCTCTTTATTGATGACTTTCAGATTTCCTGCCTTAAAGCCTCAACAATCAGTCAGTCAATATTTTTTCTTCTAATGGGTGACTCCCAACAATGTTTGTCCAGTTACTGAGAACATTGAATGATGTACACAAAACATAAACTGAATAACATTCTATAAAATTTTCCTAAATACTAAACTTTTGTGTTTTGATAACTTATTACTGTTTTCTTTTTTCTCTGTACAGTATTTCATTCTATAGTTGTCTGTTCTATGTGAAGTAACTCGTACTTTACTAAACTTTAATTTTTATTCTAGTAATGAGAAGGTCCAAGAAGTGACCACAGAGGTTCAACCTGGGAGAAACTACATATGGAAAATTGTTCAGGCTGTGGAAAGAATGTTGAGCTTGCTACCACCGAAACATAACCTTGTTTTACAAGATACATAAGATAATTATTTCTACCTAGACTTTCATTTGAACAGCTTGTATGTTTCAGTTCATAATTTCAAATGATGACAACCTTTGATGGTCTACTGTGTTTAGAAAAATTATTTTTATAATCAAATGTAAATTCTTTGCTATCTCTATAGCTTTAATTTTTGCACTATTTATACTTTATTATGATGTATTTCTTTAATATCTTATATTTTTATTCAATGTTTCATCTGTGTGAAGACCAAAATTGTTAATTAAATAAAATTGTGTTTTAACTTATGGGCCATTTTAATTCTATTTAAGTTTCTTTTTTACCTTATTTTTGGGCTTTGTTTAATTTTTAAATAGATATTTGTTTAATGTTATAGTATTTTACTTTTGACATTTTCAACAGATAGCCTAGTTGCTTTGTGCAAAAAAAAAAAAGCCAAACAAACAATAACAAGCTAGAACCATTCCTTTATGAACTCTTACCCATCACTTAATTGAGATGTCTTTGACATTATGGGTACCAGTATGTTGGGTAAGTTCAGGGACTCTGACCCTTGGGTGAGTAGTTGGCCCCTGATCCATGGTGGCGGAGGAACATGATCTATGGTCACCCTGGCAGAATACCTCCTGGAATTGAGAGGCATACTACTGCTCCATGGTTCATTTTCTTTGTTGTACACCTTACCTACTGGTAGAATAGCTCAACATTGGCACCTCCAGTCACTCTTAACTTAAACAAACCAGTGTGGAAAAACATAAGTGAACCAGTAATCTCCAAAATACTGCTTTGAACTAGAGATAGTAATATAAAATTCAAGATTCATGTTCAACTGGAGTGAAATCAAAACTACAGTTAGTTAATAAATGCATAAAATTAAGTGAAAAACAACTAAGTTGTTTAATAAACTGCATGAAAAACGTTGAAGTTAAATTAAATTAAAAGATAGAGGGAACATTTTAACACTAGTGTGCCAAATGAGAAGTGAAGTTGGGAACTCCCATCCTACTGTCTCAACTGTTTGGTTAACAAAGACCCAGTAGTTATAAACAGACCACACAATTTGCCTTCATTTGCTCATGCTTCCTTCACATGAGGTCAATCCTAAGTGAGAGAGCATGATTGGCCATTCTAGGCACACCACCTATTGCCAGCTCTTCTACCTTAATCATTGGCTACTAACCAGAAAAAAAAGTCAGATCTTTGAAGTATCAACAAAACTTTTATGGCCAACCTTCTCCCATCAGTGACTGATTCTTCATCATTATTCCTTTAAGTTGTGTAAAATACTATTTCCTCAAGAAAATAAAGTAGTTTTAAACTTAATATTGCAAGTTTGTGAATACAGGGTACACGTCAGCAGAAAAACAAAAAATATGACAGTAATATACTGTGGTTATGGCATCCAGATCTTCTCCTTCCTATCTACTCTGTGGTATTTTCAAGTAAAACTAATTTCTTTTAAGAGCAATAAGATAGGTCTACAAAATAACAGGAAATTTTAAAAGACATTTTTTATGAAGTAAGTCTGAGTTCTCTGAAAATAACTGCATATGTGATAATAAAGAGACTAGACACAAATGTACAGAAATACAATAAGCAATCTTTATTAAACGCAAGCACAAAAGACAATTTCCTTAACTGAAGAACTACACCTCAGCCATCAGGTTTCCATCCAAATTGTATTTAATAATAACTTTTACCAATGTGTTGAAAAATCACATTACATAGTTTAAGTGATAATGTCATGTTTTCTGAAAATGGCCTCTGCCACCCATGTAATTAGTTATTTCCAGTAGAAAAATAAGGGATATTGTAACCTTGAGATATCACCTGCCCTATGATTTAAAAAAAAAGTTGTCTACTTTCATACACAAAGTGCAACATTAAGGTTATTTCCTTCATGGGCAGACCAGGTGTTACCTTGGGAGAATGACTTAGAAGAGTATGGTATCCTCAAGTAAAACTGATTTTACTTATAGTTACAAAATAAGTCCAGTGAATAACATGAGATTCGACAAGGTATTTAAAACAGTGTAGTTACGACTTTCTCTGAAGCTGATTGAGTTTGTGAGAATAAAATAGAGACTGGACACAATGTAAAACACACTTAACAATTTGTATAGTTGGTACCCTTGACTGAGTAAAGTACTGCCACCTGTGATTCATCACACTTAAGCATTGTTCTTTTAAGGCCTCACAAAGTAAATAATCACAGACCAAGCTCAGCTGTACTGAGATTATGAAATTTTGAATGTTTCTCCTTGGAGAAAATCATTTAGTAGCTCAGTAAGAAATAGTCACAAAACCCTCCTATTATCATCTTCATTTATGCAAGTTGTTGATGCATTAAGCATTCTATTTACTGGCACCAGCTATTCCTAAAATGTATTATTTAAATAGCTATCATTTGATATTCTATAAATACCTCTTATAGCCAAATTTTGCCCAATAGTTCGTACAAAACCCTTATAGTCTCCTTAATTTTGTAATTAACAAACCATTTTAACTTTAGATAATCAAGTGATAATCACACAATATTGGTAGTCGATCTTGATGCAAGGGAAACACAAGCTGAGGACCTTTGTGGTTTGGTACCTGGAGAGTTTGAGACCATTTGGATGGAGCTGTACAGCATTTCCAGATTGATACAAGCTAGAGTAGCTCAATCCCAGCTCTGGTCAGAACCACACAATAATGACATGATACTGGAGACACCATTGGCAGACATAGTCTGCCAACTGGAACCATCTTGCCAACAGGTGAGATTGTAGATGGAACAGTGGTGAGACTTTCTGAGCCAGGAGGTATTGTGCTAGTGTGAACGTAATCCATGAAGGAGTATGGGGTCCAGCAGAGCTAATAGACGAGTTGCCCAGTGCACCTCATTGCCCTGCATTCAAAGTCCAGAAACATGCCACCTGTCAGAATGTTGGAGCACTTGAGAACTCCAGTTAGTAAACTAAAAAGGAGAACATCAGGTCACAACCTCGGGTTCCTGTGAGAAAGGCTAAACAGATAACTCCAGAGACATGACAAAGTAAGACTTGGACCAGTTCTCGAAATGCTTCAGGTATGTGACTGCTGGGAATGGCTGGACTCCAGACTAGGTTGTTTCCATTATCACAAACACATTAATGTCTGGAGACGTTGAAAGAGGACTGTTGGTTCAATACTTTATATCTGTGGTTTAGATACTGACAAATTAAACTAAATTATGAAAGCAGACCCAAAGCTGGTTTTATTACTAAAGATGACTTGTATGAGTCATGCCATTTGGTCACATGTTCAGGTAAAACAGGAAAATGTGTACTCATCCACACAAAAGTAGAATTTCTTCACCATATTTTGTGTAGAGAAGAATCTCCATGGATCCTGCTAAAGTAGCAATGGTGCAAAATCCTCAGCCTGTGATTAAACAAGAAGTCTATTGTGTCTTCAGTTTCACATTGTATTACTGATGATTTGTGGTCAACTTCTAGCCAAATAACTACTGATGCCATTTTTTTTCTGTGTATGGTACTACGTTACTTCAAAATTTAAATAAGCCAACATACTATGAATGTATTTTAATGTAATTATCATTACCAAGTACGTTATAACTCTTAAGTTTTATTTCAAAAGAAACATCTAAAACAACAAGTAAAACTTCAGATTTTTGCTGTCACGTGATCAGATCACGATTGCAATTTCTCAACTTCAAAAGCTGGTAGAAAAGAAACTGTGTATTGTCTCAACCAAGTTGAAGCTATGTTGCTAGGTGACATTTTGAAGTTTAATGGCATGCTTAAAACCACTAGAAAGAGCAGATTTTGTTCTTCAAGACTGTTACCTCAAGGATAATGAAGAAATATAAGTTTATTTTTAAACGGGGTGAAATGAAACCAAGTCTATCGTTCTCTCGAGGTGTTTTGCAAATTTTCTTGCCTTGTATGTATCAGTTTGATAGATAGTTAGATTGCATTTAAGTTTTATTTTAATTATTTTTTATAAATTTAACTTGTCTTTGGATTGTGAAACTCATAAACACAGCACGTGTACAAGTGCTATCTTGTTTTTGCAACAAAACTATGGGTGGAGTCTGCTGAAATAACTTCGTAAAGTCCCGCTGGCGTCAGTTGATGTATCATCATAAATAGTAAAATACAAAGAATTTGAAAAGAAAATTAAAAATAGACTATAAGTGAAAAGATATAGACGTGAAATTATGCACAGGAGACTAAGAAGAATAATGTAAAGAATTTCTATGAAGAGCTGAAAGGTATGTACATATTTCCATTTGTTAATTTTAAACATTTAATTGCACTGTATGTTGAGGATAATAGATAATTAGTTATATAGTAGAGAAAATAAAATATAAACATTTACCTTAAAAAACTTGTGATATTCATTTATGAGGTTCTAGAGATTATGCAAATGAAATGTTAAAAGCTGTATGATAAAACATAGTATTTATATACTTCATATAAAAATCACCTTGCACGTGAACTATTCAGAGAACGAGTGCAAATAACTACATTAAAAACGTTTTTTTTTATTGGAAATGGTAGAAAAAATCAAAATTTAATTTTTCTAAAACGTGTTTTTAGGACAGTTCTTGTCAAATTTCAAACAATTTCACCCACTAGTTTTTGAATGAAATATAATGATAGCGATGTTAGGTCCTTACAATTTGGGGATGCAGCCATCATAGGGCTAGATTGCCTCACCTTTATTAGCTCTTACTAAGATGGATATGCATTTCAGATTGAGTGAGAAATGTGACCAAGCATTCAACTTCATGAAATGTGCTTTAGTAGTTAATGTGGCATATCCATGACAGGATTGTGAACTCCTGCTGAACACAGACACCAGTGATAGTGAAATCTGGGCATCATTTTTGCAGTTGTAGGGTGGAGTAGAACATGAAATTACTTATGCTAATTGTATGCACATAACTCTGGAATGCAGATACTGTATGAAGAAGAAAGAACTGCTTGCAGTTGTTGTCTTTGTAAAACACTTCCAATACTACTTGTATGATAGAAAGTTCATTTTTGAGTGGACCATATATTGTTAAAATTGCTGATAAACTTTAAAAATCAGAAAGGATGAGAGCATGCTGGATATCAGCATTGCAGGAGTATGATTTAATCATATATCATTACCTAATCCTGCAACATGGAAACACAGATGGATTATCTCGGAGAATATTGCTCATTCATTGAATGTCCAGACCCTGGGAGTTATGATCATTTTAGTTTTAACAACATACTATACAGTAGGAGATTCCACTAATGAATAGATGTCATGGCTATGCATCAGAATTTTAAGAAAAACAACTAAAGTACCTAGATGAACTTGTGAAGCATGCCTGACTCAAATTGAAGAATGTAGCAGGGATGCACATAACCTTTGACACTTACACAATCAGTTAAGGAAGGTGTATCATAATATTGTTACTGACAACTGTGCAATTGTTTACAGCTAGCTGATCCCAGACACTGAAGCACGAAATCCTTCAGGCTTTGCATAACAGAAAGACTAGAGGAAACCAAGATGTTACAAGTACTTGTGCTAATGTTTGACATTGTTCTTCTGGTTGTATTCAACACTGGCATGAATACAGAGGAAAAGTCGACCTAAACAGAGTATAAACTCCAAATATTAACTGTTGCTTCTCCTCTCCAGTGGATAGTCCTGGATATTGCTGCTACACTCCTGGAGATGAAGAATGGCCACTTGTAAATAAACGTGATCATCAATTATTTCACCAAGTGGGTTGAGGCTTATCCAATGAATGATACATCCACACAGTCCATGTCTAATGCACTGGATAGCCCAGTTTCAAGCACCTGAAGATATATATTAAGATGAGGAAGCAAACTGTTCTTAAAGTTGTATAAAATGGTGATTGTGTTGAAAATACGAACTCAGCTTATCAACACAGTTTGATGGGTTAGTGAAAAGGGTCATACAAACTTTCAAGTGCATGCTTGCTAAGTTTGTTCCCAAACTGAACTGACTGAGATGAACACTTATCCTGCAACATGATGGCATATTATGGAACTGAACAAAAGTTAGTGGGTTGTCTGCCAAATATACTCATGTTTGATTCAGAAGTTTTGTTTCTGGGTGACATAATACATGGTTCCTCTGTGTTAAAAGTGGGGAAGGATGCCATCACCCTACCTTTTAGTAGACTTTAAATTTCTCAGAAGGGAAAGGTTCAATAGATAGTGTAAGAAATATTAATGGGGAAAAAACTATATATTTGTTCAAACGTCGTGTAAGAACAAGGCAGGAATGAAAAGTATTACACAGTTGGAACAAATGAACCCTCGGTGTGACCAAGTTTGTAACTGCAAGGTAACCATCAGAGTTCTAAAACATAACTCATAACAGTGTGCATCTATTTATACTTGATTTTATTGCACTTTGAACTGTACATAAATTATAAATCACTGGGCGAATGTGTAGCTCAGGTTACTGCATCGAATTACGTAATGCACGAGCTGCTCGCGAGTACACCTCCTGAATAACTTTTATTACTTTTTTTTCATTATCTTACATATTCTAACCGTATCTGACCTAATAAGTATCTAATTTTTACATTTTTGTTACTTTTATAGTAATAAATAAAAAATACACATGAAAAACAAAAAATATAATACTCAGCTTCAAACATTTCATAAAACATCCCTCTTCTTCTTTTCTCCCACTTTAAGCACCGTGGCTCCTCCAACTATAGCAGAAGTCTGCAGTGTCCACATGAATACTCTGAGTTTTTAAGGTCTATGTTAGTTGATGTGCATGAACTTTTGGGTCAACAACTAATAAAGGTCGCCTTACTCAGAAAAGGTGTTATGGGACCATGATGGATGACGATCAGAGAAGATCGATTCGCCGTTTGGATTTCACTAAGTAAAGAAATGCTTTCTCGCCTGTCCGCATTTAGAATTTTTTCCTCTGTGTTCAAACAGTCCTTATCAGGACTAGGTGTCTTATTTTGAAGACTTGATATAGTGTTTTTGT